TTGCATATTACTGAATTAGATTATTTGGAAACTATTAGTGAAAAGTTTTTAAAACAAGTAGAAAGGATAAATCTGGTTTATATACTATAACCAGAAAATGCCTTCTTCAAATCCAATTATTGCGTTCATTTGCTTTCATAACACCTTGCAATGCAAAGGCAATACTTGATTACTGTCCATTATACATTGATGACGTCCTTTTACTTGTTTACAGCTGACATGGAAAAAATTGAACTTCCAGTTCTAGAAGGCTTGGACGCTTTAGCTCTTGTAAGTAATATCACTCATTTGATAATGTGAACTTTGCATTGAAATAATACAACATTGATGTATGATATAATTTTTTTATAATCTTCTCAGAAGACCAAGAAGTTAGCAATATCTAGCCAACATGAAACAAATGGTTCGACAATTTTTTACCATGGAATTTCTATAATAAAATTGCCAACTTGGTCTGTGATTTGAATAGATACTCTGCCAATATAGGTACTTCTCAACCGCCATCATCTCCTTGGTTTGCTTCAAAATCTGGAAGCAAGGTATTATGTGGTCTTTTGTGTTTTTTTCTTTTTTTTTATTTTTTTATTATTATACTTTGTCTATGTTTTATTATTTGTGAAAGATTTCTTTTTCAATTTTGTTCCAGATCTGTTTTTTTTTTTCATGGTAATTAATGAAATGCAATTGAAAATGCTGACCTATTCTTCTCTGGTAATGTTTTCTTTTGCATCATTTCTTGTTCAGATACCCCATACTGCTGTTACATCAATAATTGACGGTTTGAAGAAACTATACAATGAAAAACTAAAGCCTCTGGAAGCTACTTATCTGTTTAATGATTTTGTATCCCCATCGCTGGTGAGTAGATTGGGAAATTTCTTGTCCACTTAAAACTTTTTGGTTGAGATGGAAGAAGAGTCGTTAAATGGTTTACCTCCATTGTGTAAAATGTTCCTTCAATGTGTTTCAAAGTTTTGACTAATTTCTTGCAGACAAGCAGTGATTTTGATGCTAAGCCGATGATAATGTTGTTGGGCCAATATTCAACTGGAAAGACAACATTTATCAAACATTTGTTGAGATGTAATTATCCAGGTGAGTTGAATTTTTACTTTATGATCTTTTGTAATCTGCATGTATAAACTTCATATATTGCATGCTTTCTTAATTTATTTAATTTTTTTCCCTCAGGAGCTCACATAGGACCGGAGCCAACAACTGATAGATTTGTTGTGGTTATGGTAAGAGAAACCCTTTGTTTTGCTGTCAAATAATAAGTTTAAACTAAAAAATAATAGCTGATAGCTTGCTTTTTGGACTTTTTGTCTTGGACATTTTTTGCTTGAAACATGCCACTGTCTAAATGTTTGTGCAATTCTATTTTGATTATCCTACAACTGTTCTATGTTATAATTTTTACTAATCTCCGCAGATTATCTTTTTGCACTCTGTATTTTGTTTAGGGAAAGATATGGATTTAGTATGTCTAATTAATTGCTTATTGTTCAGAATAAAAAGAAAAATAATACTTGGAATTGCATATTGTACTATTTTATTAGTATTTCCTCCATGATGAATGTGTTTCCTATAATTTCTTTTATTTTCCACTCTGTAAAATGTGTTTTCACCAAGCTACTTTGATCGATTGGCCAAAATAAGAAAGAACTGCAAGTCATCAAATGAGGAACTTTACCTATGTAATCAAACTGGGTGATTTATCCTTATTAAGGGATATGTCTAACACGTTTACGGTTCCATTGCTTTATTGTGAATTTGTACTCAGTCTGGACCAGATGAGAGAAGCGTTCCAGGAAACACAATTGCTGTTCAAGCAGACATGCCATTCTCCGGTCTGACATCCTTCGGTGGAGCTTTCTTGTCGAAGTTTGAATGTTCTCAAATGCCGCATCCTGTACGTTGAAGTTTAATTTATTTCTTTTAAAGTTTATGCAGTTTCATTTTGCCAAATTGCTACAACGAAGCTAATACTTTTTACCTATACTTTCAGCTCCTTGATCAAATTACATTTGTGGATACTCCTGGTGTTCTCTCTGGGGAAAAGCAACGCACACAGAGAAGCTATGATTTCACAGGGGTTATATCATGGTTCGCAGCAAAATGTGATCTCATTCTTCTTTTGTTTGATCCCCATAAACTGGATATCAGCGACGAGTTCAAGCGTGTTATAGGATCCCTTCGTGGTCAAGATGATAAGATTCGAGTTGTCCTCAATAAAGCAGATCAAGTTGATACTCAACAAGTAAGATTTAGACCTCTGCAATTATTTTCCTCTTTATAGTTTCCTTTATTGGAGGATTATAATGTATACCTCTTTGACTTTCCATCATTCTAGTTAATGAGAGTATACGGAGCATTGATGTGGTCGCTCGGCAAAGTGTTGAATACTCCAGAGGTCTCTCGTGTTTATATTGGGTAGGTTCTTTGATTCAGTCTATTATTTATGTATTAAAGTGTTGATCATTGATAATTTCCTCTTAGATTTACTGATTTATATAACATAAAACGTTAATTTCCAACTGATCTTTCATTGATATCAGCATTTTCTTGGATTGTCACTCGTAATTATTATCTGATTGTATCAGGTCATTTAATGACAAGCCTGTTAATGAAGCCTCTGTCGGCCCAATTGGTCGCGATCTTTTTATCAAGGAACAAGATGACCTGTTAGCAGATTTGATCGATATTCCAAAGAAAGCGTGTGACCGTCGGGTAATTTGGTTTACATGTTTTGATTGCATAATATGCGTATTTGCCATCACCATGCCTAAATAACGAAGTTTTCATTTTCACATTCCAGATTAATGAATTTGTAAAACGCGCCAGAGAGGCTAAGATTCATGCCTACATTATCAGCCATCTTAAAAAGGAGATGCCTGCCATGATAGGCAAAGCTAAAGCTCAACAACGGCTTATTGATAATCTTGAAGATGAATTTGGAAAGGTAAATTTATTCCTTTCATCTTGTATGTTCAAATGTCCGAATTGAATCTTTATAGTTTAAATAAATCTTAAAACTAGGTCTCGTGGCCCAATTAAATCTTTATACTTTGAAAATAATTTTAATTGAACTTGGTAAGATAATAGAGAGCATGTTAATAGAGATTTTTTTTAATACATAAGAATCAACCACAATTGGAATGGCTAATTTTGAGATTTGTTAAATGTCGGCTTGAAAAGAAATCGGTCTAACCATATTTGATCATCCCGTCTCTCGGTATCCCTCTCAATGGATCCCTCTTGCCCGTGCCAAAGAGTAGTGGTTTAGAAATTTGAAAGTGGATGAAAAATAGGAAAATAATATTTGAATCATTTCTTTAAACTGTGGATGACAGGTTCAAAGAGAGTACCACCTACCGGCAGGTGACTTCCCAAGTGTGGAGCATTTTAAGGAGGTATTAAATGGGTACAGCATTGATAAATTTGAGAAATTGAAGCCCAAAATGATTCAAGCTGTGGATGATATGCTTGGGTACGACATTCCACAACTTCTCAAGAACTTCAAAAATCCATATGAGTGAAGCATCTAAAATAACATTATATTATTTTTGTAGTTGGCCAATCTAAGTATAGGTTCTTCATTAATCATTCAAAGGTTTAGGTTATGATTCGAAGTACAGTTATAATTTAAAGTTGGGTATTTTGATGTAATCGAAGTTTTTGTTTTGTCGATTGTTTGTGGCTTGTTGTACAGCGTATGATGTTTTATAATTTACAAGTCCATTTCTAGTAGGCTTATAAATAAGTTCTTGGAACTAAATAAATATTAAACTAAGCTTAGGTTTGTTGGTTGAAATATTTTATGTTTACCTACTTCCCATATTTTAATGAAGAACAAGAGAACCCAATTTATTTCCGACAACTTTTGGTATATCCATTAAAATTCTAAAATTTCATAGAATCAATTTTAACCTTGAAAGTCAATAATATAATTTTTCTTTTCATTATCATTAAATAGAAAATAGAAATTTGGATTTGAGTATAATAAATCTTTGGCAGCAATAAATGGGAAGATGTGTATGAACCAGATATGCCGCAACAAGAAAAAGAAAAATGATTGAATAGCGGAACTCCTAAACATTTGGCGATCTCAGATGTGTCGATATCGATGATGACTCATTATTTCAATGAATCATTTCTTCGGATAGAAGAGGATTATGTAAACACTTACTCAAAATCTCACTTATCATATTCCTTTTTGGAAGACACAATTTTTCGAACATTTATTTTGGATTTCCATAATTTTCGAAACAAAAAAATTTCAACATATTTCATTTTTTTTTATAAGAACAAATCCAACTCCTTTTGGACATTTTGGCATAGGGAAGCGCCCGGCCCCATAAATGAACTTATGACTTTGTGGAGACATTCCCACATTCCCAATATGTTTTCAAAAATATCTTGATCCAACTCCAATTACTTTTTCTATTTATTCTTTTTTTTTTTTATAACTTCTTACAGCAATCAATGCGTTAATTAATTTGAATTAGCAAAAACAATGTTTCCTATTGAATTGAAGGGTGATATAAAATCGACTTCTAAATATTTATTAATACTATATCAAATAGTAAAATTAGTTCTATACATCTTAATAGCAAATAATATATCTATTTATTAATTCTATAATTTATATTTAAAAATTAATGAGACAAAATTCTTTTATAGGATTCATCAAAGAACAAAAATAAAAAAATGGTTAGGTTAGGACTTTAAAATATATATAAAAAAAATGAATTAATAAAATTTTATTTGTTATCTAAGTTTTACAAATTTAATTTTTGCCCTCATTTGGACATTGAAGGTTATAAATTTATAAATCTATTAGGGAAAAACTTAAATAAAATATTAAATTTTAATTTTGAGAAAATTAGAATTTAAGTTTAGGTTTAATTTTATGAAAATAAAATTCTAATTTTTTAAAATAGACTAAATTCAAAAATTTCATTTAAATCTAAAATAAAAATTGAGAATAAAATAAAAGAAATGCAGAAATCCCATCGACTCGTAAAGCTCGCTCCGAGTTTCCTTGAAGGGAGAGAAATGGATAATACGAAGATGGCGAAAAGGTTTCAGGGGAAGGTTGCCATTGTTACTGCTTCCACTCAAGGTATTGGCTTCCGAATCGCCCATCGTCTCGCCTTGGAAGGTGCCTCTGTCGTCATTTCTTCCCGCAGACAGGTTCATCATTGATATTCCCTAATTCTTTTTTGAAGCCTAAATTTGAGCATCGTAATTTGATTCTACTTTTATTCCGTTGTGATTCTATTCACACATCTGAAATTAATGACTTACAATCGTTGTTTTGCATTGATCAAGATCGATTCTCGAACTCATTCATTTCATTAGATTTTTTTTTTTTTTTTTTTTTTTTTTTTTTTTTTTTTTTTTTTTTTTTTTTTTTTTTTTTTTTTTTTT